CGCGCGAGTCGCCGAGCGGCCCGGCCAGCACAATACCGCGTGGCAGCTTCCCCCACTCCGCTTGGCGTGCTGTGCCTCGTTCGCGTTTCTTAACTTTCCAATAGTTTTAAACAAACTTTTTCGGCAGCAAAAATTTCAACAATTTTTTAATAGCAAATTCAAATTTTTCTTAACAAATTAATACCAGAAAAAACTCTTAATCTTAAAAATTAGAGCCACAGTGATTTTTTGAAAAGAAATGGTTATCTCTGTTCCTAATAATCGAAGGGTAACGTTTTTTTTTAAAATTTGTAGAAAAGTCAGTTATCGAATGCTTAACACGGCTGTTTGATATGATGCATATTAACGGAATTATTCCATTTTTTTATACGAAAAAAATATACTCACTTTTTAAAATCGTTTTAAAATAGTTTAACTGCAAAAAATCGTTTTGTTACTAAGTGTACGTGATAGTGCAACTCTTGAAGAAAAAAAAGCGCTCCTGCAAATTGCTGTGCGACTGCTCAAAGATGAAGAAATTAAGTTTTCCGCAGACAAGTTTTTAGTAAACAAATAGCTTTTTGCAAAAACTAATGAATATTTAAGGCTCAGCTCTAGATTTGTTCATCACGAGGGCTACATTTTATGAGAATTTCAAAACTTTGCGTTTAAATCTCGACGAACAGAGAGCGAGTGAAAAAAGGCCTTTTTCGGTGGTTTTTATTTTTTTTCTACTAAACTAATAAACCGATATTAATGTTCCACATCTCATTTTGTAGGTATTTCGAATAATTACATTTTTCATACTGAACTTCTTTCCATACAATCGACAGCTTTCGTTTTATAAGCGAAAAACCTGCTTTTTGCAACCATTCGAATTTTTTTTGCATATTTCCCACACTAGTTGCGAATCTCAAATGTATACATTCTTTTTCTGATGGCCTTCCGAACATTTCTGTCGAGAGAGATGCCTGTTTACAATTTTTCCGCGAAACGGGTCTTTTTGAGTCTAATTCTACTGGACTA